ATAATCAGTCTGAACTGTGCAACGTCATACGCAATAATTTCATCTTTTGCATCGCTATGCGCTAATTCCGCACGCGTGGCATCTGGTGTCGATTATCCCAGTGCCAGAAAATGGGAGCATCGGCAAGATAACCTTGATGCATTCCGAGCAATCGTGTTCACCTCCGCCATGCTCAAGTAAGTGTCTCGATCACCTCATTCAGCCGCTTATAGAACGAAAGGTCTTTGATGCACTTGATTCATGATTATTCGCTTACGTAAAAGGAGTGAGGACCGAAGACCGCTTCCCAAACAAATGAAATTGGGAAGGAAGTTGACGAAAGCGGCCATGTTGTTAGGTCGGCATTTCTTGATCCGTCTTCAGCGTTCGCTGCAGTCCCTCGCTGCAAACTGTTGGTCAGACTGAACGGGTTTGCCATCGCTCCTTTCATCATTCGATGGTTAATAGGTGATTTTCTCCATCGCCGCTAGTTCGCCAAAATCGGTCGAAAGAAGTCTCGCGCAGTGCAGACAATCTGGGTGTTGTTCGAAGCTCTGGCTGTCGCCCCTGTTGTTTAATTTTTTAGCACAGATTACACTGTCAGTGCTCTCCATTAATGTATAAGGTGTACTGAATACTGCAGTCGTAAGCACTCTGAGGTCATCTGAGGGTTGGAATAGCTTCCAAAGCGACACAAGTAATTTTTCCCACTATTTTTCTTCTAATGGCTTTTATCTAAACGTCAGTATGACCAATGAGACAGTGTGTATTATGAGCAGCACAAGAAGCTGTATGCTTCTTAACCGTTCAACACGCACTCCGGAAATGTGCGACAAGTCTGTGATGCAGACACAGCACATAATGTACTTGAAAATTACCTTATCGGTAAACCTCACTTAGCATTGTTACATTCAGGAATTAACAACCTGGTGTTGCGGGGCATCGTTCTACTCGAAAAGGCAGAGGAACTTGCTTGCACCCAGGGAATCGTTTTATTTTTACATGTACTCTTTTCCTTTTCACTTATGGAGTGGCCATAGTATTTCCTGCGTTATTGGCTTATGATTTTATAGCCATAAGAAAATCTCTTAGGCCAAGGGTTAGTGGTATGCCTGAAAATCGTCAGGAATTGCATGTTGTCAAATCAGCAGTGGCACACGGTGTTCGCATGAAAAACAAGATCCTTATTAACTATAACTGTGACATTCCATGCTCGATAGCCTTGCGCAGTATCTGTCGTGTAGCACTTCAACCAAATTCGCGACATGTCAGTATTTATGTCAGAACTGTGCTTACCGAATATCTATAATCCCAGCCTCAACACACTGATATTGGAATTCATTTAGACAGCGTTATTTAACTATGCTCAGTATAATATAGTGCTGTTATTTTATTCGCTCTGTGTATTTATTAACTGTGATAATCACACTAATACCTCTCGTTTCGTTAGGCGATAAATGTTTTTTCTTTTTATGTATATGCTGAAAAAATGTAGCTCCTTTGTGATTCCATCTAAACAGTAAACCTCCCATGATACCGTGCTATTATTTGCTCCGTCCCGTAGGTAAGGAGGTAAAAGCGTTAAAATTAAGAATGTAGGAGCGTTAAAATTAAGCGGCATTCGAGTTTCTGAGCTGATTTCGAGTTGATTCCTTGCTCAAGAGAATGACCATTATTGTATAAGTGCTTAACTGAGCTTGAGCAAAATGATTCAGTTAGTCGAAGCGTGCACATCACTTCGATCATGTGCTTCTGATTGCACGGTGTAGCGCAGTTTGCTAAAAGTTGGTAATTTTGAGGATTCTGTACAAGCAGTAAATTAAGTGCTTGAACAAATGGGATTTTTTCGAGAATTTTAGTCTCCATGTAATCTTCAGGCAACAGTAAGTAAACAATGACAGAAGCTTGGAAGTCGGTGCCGAAGAAGTTCTGTGAAGTGTGCAAATGCTGGTTCTACGATAACAAGGTCAGTGTGCAACATCATGAGCAGGGCAATCGGCACAAAGCAAACGTGCAGAAGAAGTTACGTGAGGTAGATTGCCTACCAATGAAGTAATGCATGCATAGACCGTTGACGCGGTTCGTCTTTTCAGCTTGGCAAAAAGGGTCGGGAACAAGCCAAAGAAGGCCGAGAACGACGGATGATTTTGGCCAAAATGGAAACGGTCAGTAACTGTGTCTGCTTTAACCTTTTGAACGTTAAATTTTTGCATTAACAGGAAGCCACAAGATCGTATAAAAAAGATCTGAAAAAGCAGCAGCAACAGCAGAATTTGTCATCCCGTGACATGAACTTCAGCCTGGCCGGAGAGCTTGGTATGCAAAATAATCTGTTATCTTGTGTTAATTTAAACCACTGCAATGTGTGCGATGTAGTGGTCTCTTTTATATATGCAAGTCTTTAAGTTGGCTGGGAAACGCCTTCTGTAGGAATGAGTTTCTTAAGGGACTTCTTTGTATCCTCTTCCTCTTGCGATGACAGTGAAGCTGCTCAACTTTTTGGCCGTACAGATATACCTATCTGTCACGTGTCTGTCTAACTGCAATGACTACGAGGAACACATCAGCAGACCGGAAAACGGGAGTTGTACCCCTATTCAAGAAGGAAGGCCATAGAGAGTGCTTCAGTTATCGGAACATTACGTTATTGAGCCTCCCAGGTAAAGTTTACGCAAATGTGCTGGAAACTAGGTGCCGCGGACTAACTGACCGCAAGATACAAAAGGAGCATTGT